TTTTGGAAAAAAAAGAGGATTTAATGTTAAAATAATTAGTAAAGAGTGGGGTGGGAGAATATTTATATGATATGTTCGGGCTTCAAAAGCATGCTTGTTTCATGATCTTTAAATAATTTCTCTTCTTTCAAATGACACAGACTTGGTGAGTGTGGTGAGTGGAGAGTTAATGCACAAAATATAAATTAATTTAAAGTATAATATATCAAAATTATATTCCATTTTTTTATATTATTTTTTCATGTGTTTTATGATTACATAGCTAAAGCCTAAACTTGTATATTTATGTATATACCTTTAGTTAATACAAATTGTATTAAAACATATGCATAGACATATATGCTTTAGTTTAAATAGTTAATGCATGTTTGTATTTCTCATGTGATTTAAAATTTGAGGGTTTTGTAAATAAATATGACATTTTCTATATATAAATATATAAAAAGTTTGTGGTAATGGAATTATGTCACGATGATGGAGAAAGACATGAACCTACTTGTGGTAGGACAAAAGCTCCCACTTACAAAAAGGATAAAGATCACATGTGTTACATGCACTTTATATTTTCAACCTCAAAGTACAATGCATCAAATAGGGAGGCAATGAACATAAATATTTGTTTTTTGCAAATAAAATTCATATTTTACAAATATTAATAAAGTACTACGTGATATGCACCACATTTAAACTTTATAAAGCTATGCAAATAGTCGGTCATCAATGTCGGAGATAAGCAACTATTCAACATAGTAAAGTTAGCATGATGTCAACAATAAATGGGATTAGGAGGAATATAATTCTTGTTTGGTCTCTTTGTTCATAAAAGGAATGGGCCATTATGGCTTCAAATTTGCTACTGAATATATATATATATAGCTCCGTGTTCTCAGCTCAGTTAGTAGAGCATCCGTTTCGACGGTATAAGTCTCCTCTGAAAGGGTGTTCGAATCCCCCCTGGCGAGTTATCTGCTATCAACCCAAACACGACGGGTTGTGAGCCAGAGGTGGTTGGTGGTTCTGCCCGTCTACCATCTTCAATATACATATCAAAATCATCCAAACTTAAATGTTAATTGTCCTCAAGTAATACTAACATCTTTAAAATCAATTTTATTAATTTGAGAGAGTGGGTTTCTTTAAAATTATAAACATGTTTGCTTCAAGAAATTCATAAAATAAATTTAAATTAACTTCATGAAACAAGTCTAACCCTTTGGGTAAAATTGAACATTTCATCTAACGAGGAAAACTTTACTTTTTATTCAATTTAAAAAGCAGTAAATAATTGTAAACTAAAGCACCTTAGAAGATACAAAAAACATAATTTGAGCACTCTATTTTAATAGGAAAAACTTGCATATATACTTTGAATTCATATGAGCTTAAGATGAAATATTGTTTAAACTTTAAAAAGAAGCGTGTCAAATCAAATTTTTATTAAATTTCTCATTAAGTGATACCAATTGTAAACTAAATCCCATTTATATATATATATATATATTTGTGTGTGTGTGTGTGATTCCAATGATCAGATGTAGTTTTATGAGTAATTGAATGTCTTAACAATTTGAAATCAAGCTATCTTACGCTAGTTAGATTCGTCTCATCAAAACGTTTGATTTGATTATTGCTTACAGTATTTGGAGATCATTTTATCCCTCAAAATATATTCCAAAGGTTCTCTTTATGTTGATCATTTTGTCCCTCAAAATATATTCCAAAGGTTCTCTTTATGTTTTAAGTACATCATTTTAAGCACATTATATGGGCTAACTTAGGCCTAGATTGAATCATTTTTTATGTCATTTGGTTTATCTCGCTGAGACACTTCGTTTGACTGTAAAATGAAGTGTGAGCATTTTCAGATTTGATTTTCGAAGCTTTTGATCCAAATATGTATCGAGATTCATGTGAATCAATAAGATTTCTTATGGACATGTCAACTATTATCATGCGAAAGTAAGATTATTGACATTCAATGAAATTGAAAAATAATCACACATATGGTTTGAAACTTTAATAAAATTAAATAAATACCAATCATGACCCCTTACTCATCATTTTAACTCTTTTTGGTTAATTTGTCTCATATATTATACATACTTAGGGTTGATAACTATCATTTGGTCATAAAACTTACATTTAAAGAAGATTGCAATCATTCAAAATTCCATAACCATTCTAATTTTTCTTACAAAAATTAAAAAAAATTGAATTTTTTTAAGATTAATACATTCCCACCCTTTCCCAATCTTCCTAAACATCATTATCTAAACAATATTTATGTGACTAATCACCCATAGATAAACATTTAAAGGTTCAATGAACACTCCCCCTCCTTTTCCTCTGATGGGACCAATCATCAATCTTAGTTTAAGCTTGATAAGCTTAGTGAAGTACATGATCATTAGCATCTAATCCATGTCATATTTAAATAATGACTGCATAGACTATGCTTAATTAGAGCAAATCAAGGAGCTTATAAGTCCCACCAATTATAAGCTTATGACACCTCTCTTCCACCTCTGCACGTAAGCGTGCGTTGGGGATGTTGACATGAGGGCAAGATAATTCATGCATTATTTTATTTTGCCGCACGCCCAAAAATAGCAAAAATTATGATTATATTGTTTTTTAATTTTTTTCTATATATATATATAT